GTGAAGGCCCCTTGCATGACAAAACCTTCTCAAATCCTGAAGAAATAGTCTGATCACCATGTCCCTGTAGCGTTCTTGGGTGACAGTAAGAGCATTGCCTTCCTCATCCTCAATGAAATAGGGGCCTAATATACCATGTGCTGAGACAGCACACCATATCGTCACACGTGTACTATGTAGTGGTTTCTGGACGATAACATCTGGCTGCTCAAAACCAAGGAAGCGAGATGTCTGGCGACCACTTCCATACGAGCGGAAATGATACTAAACTATTAATACTTTTTCCTCTGTCGAGAGACCCATTTCCAACAACTGCACAACACAACTTCCTTTTCACTACTGGGAACACGTGCGGCTGGAGCAAACGCACATGCGCGTTTGAGATGTGCGAGTTTCAGTACTGAGTATTTTGGCACATATTGTATCTTTAGCATAATCATAACTGAAGAGTTAAAGATTTTCACATACTTATCTAACCTGCATTTACAACCACTGTAACTCACATAAAATATATTACAGGCTGGTTCTAAATGCTTGCCAGATACTTCATATCTGTGTGGGCAAGAGAGAGATAAATCGCGTGCATGCATCTTCTAGAATAGTATGTGAATGTATAAGAGGTGGGCTTTCTTGGCCCTTGCATCATGACCACAGTGATCTATTGTGCCTTATTCTAGGATAGTAACTTTGTTTGGAATGCTGAAAGTTCTTTATCATTATGCATGCTATGAAGTAGCTAAGCTTTTGCCTTGATCACTGGTCATCAACCAATCTGACAGCTAATCTTGCACTGTGAAAGCTCCTGAAGCCACAGATTCTAAATCATTATTCTCAGTACTGTGCACTTTTTGTGTCACTGGTCTTCCATCATACAGAAGGGCTTGCTGTATTTTGTTTTTGCTCTCAAAAATGGTGAACGTCTAATCCATCCATATGGTCTTCCTATTTTTCACATTGTGGGGAGACAACTTAAAAGATACTACTCCAAATTTCATATTCAAGTTTAAGCATTTTCATCTCACTGTCATAATCGGGGTTGAACACTTTTTAAACCATAAGCAGCACATCTTTGAAAAATCTTCAACAACCATTTACTAGGCATGTGACACAGTACAATGTGACATGACATCAAAAAACCATTAACTCCAGAATCCTGAAATCATACAAGTATTGCAGAAGCATCCATTACTAGGCAATGACAATTACCAAATCCTGACAGCCCCATGCACACATAACAGTCAAGGAACTGCTAGGGGTAGTGTTTTCTCACTGGCCCACAAAAAAGTGATATACAAAAAGCATACAAGCTAGCTGTCAAGTGCTGAGACAGCAAAATATGGTCATGGGTCCCGCTGGACGAGGAACCAGAATGCCTGTGCTTGCAAAACTTAGAAGCAATTTACCTGCGGAAAAAAAGTCAGGGAGTCCTGCGACAGAAAAATGTAGTCATGGTTCATACATGGCCTGTAAGCAAGGGCCAAAAGCAGTTTACCAGACAGCAGCAATCTGCCTGACTGCCCAACAGCACAAGATTGAAGTCGGCCTCATGACTCAGAGTCAGGAGACCATAAATATGGTCATACGTCCCATACGGCTCAGAGCCATGAATAACTATGGCGGCAAATGGCAGCAGCAATGTACACTCAACTAAACCCTAAGCAGAGGATTCACTGCTATCTAAGCCCGCAGCCTAACGACATGTCTGTGACAATACAGCCAGCAAGGAACAAGGCAAGAGTGGCATAACAGACTGTGAAGTGATAGTGAATACTTGTAAACTGTCTAATCATCTGCAGATAAGGGATATCAGTGTCCACTTAATTCAATAACCAGCCAGAACTTGTAGTTTCATCAAAACCACTCATAATATGATGAAACAAGCTACTGGACTGAACAGAACTGCAGCTGACAACATGATGGACATTTCTCATTATCTAGAATATGATGGTACTTGACGTTGAATCCACCATGTAGCGATATGTTGTCCCAAAAACATCATCTTACATTGGAAGTACATAAAATTTTGCATTGGTAGATATTTTTTGACTACATATTAGATTATCTCTATGCATGCATACTAAACAGATCTGCCTCCATATTGATTAAATTCCCAATTATGATATTCAGTATTCAGATTCTTGAATGCTGACATTCTTTCCTTCCATACACAAGTGAGAAGATATAGCAGTAACAGATTTTGATGGGAACTTACAACAGCCTTGAACTTTTATTAGTGGATAAATCAACAGTTATCTGAAATTCTCAAGGGTTTTACATTTATACCATTCCATCAGAATGTGGTATCTGACTAGTACTGCTTTAATAATATCTCTAAGGAGTACAACTAATAACACAGTCATGTTAGATAATCTTCTTCAGTTATCATGGGTTAGGCCCTTTTCCAATTCAGAATCGACTTCTGAAACAATAAATTCTTTCAGATCTGATGAGTTCCCGAAATGGAAGATCAGTCAATCATAAAGCACTTACTTACACTAAACAGAAAAGTGCAGACATACATCAATACCCCAAGTGTGAATCGCCCATAATCCCACTTTTGAAGCAATCCAAGGCAATCTGAACCTTAACGTGCACAGCCTCAGCCACTGACCTGTCACACTTGATGTCATATTTTCCTTGAACTTTAGTGTAACAACTCACCTGAAGATAATTCATCAAGAATTAAAACGTGGGGGAACTATTTCTATTAAAGAATACAGCCTTCAAACAGCATCATCAATATATATACTGTCACGTGTTGGGTATGTCACATGACAAATAACTTTATGCCGTATTGGATATATCAAATTTATTGCACTCGCTCTTACAATTACACAATTCACAACTTCCCAATTACTGTCATTGGCAGTATCACAAATACTTCTCCTGTAGTTACTGCCAATCACTCGATACAACCCTACTCATCGACTGCAAGATTGCAACTCACTAGTTACTGTCTCTCTAGTAACTGGCTCAATACTTACTACTGAATAGTGTCTGCTGCTCCTTATTTAGGCTAGGAACGGACATGACAGAAAACAGTTACGTGACAGGTACCGCTGTTGCATAATGTCATGTTTACTAATTGCCTAGCAACAGTCATTACATGGGCTCCCTTGTTGCATCACTGTGGGAAGTGTTGTTACATCACAGCGGGAGGCAACAGAGTGTTTACCGAGCGTTGCGTAATAATGGAAGGGGTGGGGATATGTGACGTCACTCGCGAGACTGCAGATTTCACGTGACCCCTACTTCCGGTTGCGGCATCCACGTCACAATACATGTATATATCTGTACACAAAGGGATACTTACCAAGCAAATGGTAATTTGATTCTCTCTCATATTTAAATGTTAACCGACCATATGAAACATGATTTAGGTTTTTGAGCCATTCAAAGAATGACACAGTGACACCACCAGCGTTTATATACAGATCAGGGATGACTAGGATATTACGATCAATAAGAATTTTATCAGCAGCAGGAGTTGTTGGACCATTAGCTGCCTCTGCAATAATCTGTCAACAGAAGACCATTGTAAGTGCTGGTTATATTCAATTTTAACTGCCATAATCTAGAAAGTACTAGAGTGACATGCATATCTTACTGAACTGCTTTAGCCATTGTCATAAGCATACAAAGCTGTTCTAGGAAAATGCCCTGGTTGCTGAAGAGTATAGAACAGTCAGGATATTAGTCTAATCTTTTAGAGATTTGAACAAAAAAGCTGATGTTATAACTGTTGACATCTGGAAGTTTCAAGTCTTGAACATAAGATTCTCTTACCTAATGTTAATGAGACCAAATGAATGAAGAGGTCTGTGATACGGGACATTTCTGATGTATCTGGGTTCAAACTCCAATATCCCTGAAACCTTTTACTCTAAATATTGTTAAGTTCTTTAAACAAAATTTCCCAAGTCAACAGAGTATGTATCACATCTAACCTATAGAAACAACCCTGAACAATGTGTGTAAGCATTTTCACACCAGGCTACACATAAAATAGAACCAAAAATATACTTTAAAAATGAAAGCATAACAGCATTTGTTATGAAAAGTGATTTAAAGAACTGATAATAATACAAACATTAATCGACATGAGAGTCATAGGCTGCATGATACAAGAGAAAATTGATTCTAAATCATAAAGAAAAACTAAAGTTCTTTCACACTGAACTGTAAATATTCCATGATATATTAAAGTAAATTCTGAAACTACCTTAGCTTGTATACGATGTGCATTATCCTTGTTGATCACTTTCTCAATAGCAGCAGGAACAAAAATGTCACAAGGTTCAAACATCAAGTTTTCACCTTCATATGCACTTGCTCCAGGGAAGCCAACAATACTACCGCTGTCATTACGGTAGTCTTCTAGTTGCTACAAGGAACACAGTATATACATACGTAAGTTTAAAAAAAACACACAATATAGTTATTTTTTCTTTTAAAAGAATAGGTTTATATGTATGTGCCTACATCATGTGTTAATTACTAATAATTTCAGAATGACTTGGTTCACTGTAACTATGTGACAAGTGTGCGAACACACACAGTTTGTAGATACCTGTTATATACTTTTTTATCTCTCAAACCTGTAACACTGCACATTCTTTGGATTTTTCATTTATGAATCAATTAAGGAAAGAGAATCACCAACATACTGTGACATGTCAATGCACTGCCAGGCAATAGGTTGATAAACAAGTTCCCATAAAGACAGATTCTGCTAAACAGTCCGTTGCTAGGCTACACAGCAATTGTGACAACAGAAGAAGCGTTTTCTATGTGGTCCATGCCAAGTAAATGCACAGAACAACAGGGCAACTACTGCCAGGCAACAAAGCTGTAAACATGCATCCTTAACAAAAGAAGGTGTTTTCTGGGGGTCCCTGCAGAGGAGTTATCTTGAAGACAATCAGCACTACCAGTCAGTCAGTTCTCCGTCGGAGATAGCCACAGGAAGTTCGTAGTTGAAGAAGAATTATAAGTCGACCTGTGAAGACTTAACATGTGGATTGAAGACTTTAGGTGTGCTGTAGTGCAGTGATATCTGGAGTGTAAGTTATAGGTCCTGTGTTAAAATCCATTGTAGGAAACAGACAGGGAAAACTTTGCAGAGGAATAGCCATTGTTTAGATCTGTTACCTAGCAACAACTAGTTAAAGCAGATATAGAAGACTTTATTATGTGTTATAATTACAGTAATCTTGAAAGTGTTATAATTATTTGTATTTACAACTACTTAATATCCAATAAATCAACTCACCAATGCAAACCCACATCTTTAGTCACTAATACACGGGACAATACTACTGTCAATACAGTAGGAATTTTATTTGTGAAGTCTGAATTTCTTACCAGCTTGAAATCATATGATGAAGATAGCGACTGACAAATAAGTTGTTCAATTTGGAACTTAACACAACAAAGTTAAATAACGTTCTGCATAGACCAACTTTTTATTTTCTTCAGCCCAAGATCTTGCAAATAACCAAACCGATCCACCCCCCCCCCAAAAATACACAGAAGTCCTGTGACTCTATGTCATAACCTCAGTGGTTTTTAATGTCATTTTGAGTGCAAAATACTATTCCAAATTCATCCTTGGTGGGGGATAAAAAGATAAAATGAGTACATTGTACAGTTTATGTAGCTTAGTGTTAACTGTTCAAAAGTCACCTTAGATGCATACAGTCTGATTCATTGCACTAGGAAATGAGCAACCTTATGAAAAAATGCAGTGTTATTAACATATCTTGCAGCATCATGAATTTGCTGAAACAGTTCCTCTTGTGTCCTCCCTGTGGCTGAACACCATGAGTTCACACGGTTAGTTTCAGGAACGTTAAGTTCCACACAGCCCAACTGAAGAGTTGCTTCTGAACCACTACTTTTACCAAGAGGTTACATTTTTTCAGCAATCATGCTGAAATTCTAAGAATTTGTTCTCATTTTTTGACAGCAAAAATCACTCACTGCAACAATAAAACAAACCAAATCCAAATACAGAACTGACGATCATTGCAGGCCCATAATTCAATATCCACTAACTAAATAGTGTTGGTACTTGCTCCACAAGATCAGTTTAGTTACTTGTCACATATTTTAGCAATGTCATATCTCTCACAACCTATTTCATTAAGATCGCACAGTGGCTGCGAGTCAGTTATAAAGTAACAGTTATACTCGGAGTGTGTAATTCAGGGAGACTTGTATAGCTCCCGCATTATTAGTACGTGAAGACTCTCGAAGAGAGTGTTAAGAGATTTTGTTGTAGGGTTTGTAAACTGTGGAAACCCGTAACGTTGTGATAATTAATTGTAGCCGTTATTTGTAGATTGTTAAATAAACCAATTAACCATCTCTACGGCGTATTCTGTAACGAAACACGTTACAATATTATGACACATTACTGATATTAGCAGTCAGCAAAGTGAACAAAATACAGGATAAGTAACCAAAGCTACCCCCACAGGAGGCCATGGAGGCCCATATGGCTGTAAGACGGTGAGATTCCCACATTTTCTAGACAATCGGCTTGCAGATGACCGTGAGGCTGCCAGCCCTTTACCCCCCAGGAAGATTCCTGGTACTCATTTCTGCTAGAGACTGAGTCAACCCCAGGGCCATAGTGCAGCTGAAAGGATTAGGTCAACGCAAAACCTTAAAGACCTCATTAGGAATCGAACACATGACCTTCTGGCTTATAGCATAGGGCCTAATCCATGCTACCTTAAGCCCCCAAACACACACACACAAAAAAACTTCTATATGTCAAACTAATCCACATACCTTTGGATCAATGCCCTCCTTGTTGAAAATGGAACCATCTCTTTCAATTACTCCTATGCATGCAGCTCCAGCACGGTGAAGGTACCTCATAGTATGGAGACCTACATTGCCAAATCCCTAAAACATTACCAACCTCTGTAAACATGGTGAAAACAACAGAAATAGGATTTCTTGACTGTTAAGATTTCTATGCATATCTTCAATTTCCAAATCATTCAGCTTCAGAAACTGTATCTGTCCATATTAAACTTCTGCCTTGCTCATTTGGCATCTGAAAATATTCAAAATGATATTCAATGAAAAGTATTCAAGGATTTTTTACATCAGAACCACAATTCAATTATTTTTTGGGGCTAATACAGTGCTCTAGCACAATATGACTTTCCCAGCGGAACACAAGGTAATCAAAACAGTCATATGAAGTTAGCTGACCTTAGCTCATATACCATATAAAAGAAGAATTATAGATACAGTACTTAGCATCCAGAGAAGCATGTGAGCAGAATGGCAGCAAATAATGCAAAACTAGCCAAAAACTGAACTGTTATACAAAAACATGATAGTACCACTGTAAACACAGAAAATGATACATGGGCAAGCCAGATATATCCACCATATATTTAATAAAATTATTACAACAGCAATACCTCACAAGTGCATCACTTTTCAGTACATCCTCTGCTTTCAAATAGTTGATTCAGTGATGCATAAGCCTATCTATGCCAGTAGAATATAATGTTTTCAACCAGTCAACAAGCCACATATACACTGCCTCCATCTGCTACACTGCAAAGATAACTGAGAAGAGATGGCAATGAGATAGTTGGCAGTTGCAGCAGAGAATTGGATTGAGAGTTCCAAAGATGGCAGTTGGCAGATAATGGAGTCATTGATCGAGTTCAGTTGAGACGTGTAAGTCCGGCAGTGAAGAGAAGACTTTACATGTGCTGTAGTACAGTGATATTTGCAGTGTGTGATTCAGTAAGACTGTTGTAGTTCATCTGCTAAAATCCATTGCCAGGAAATGGACAGTGGAGACTGCAACAAACTGAGGACAGCAGCGCTTGCAGCAGTGAGCTGTACAGTGTAAAGATCAGCAGTAGGGCTGTACTTGATTGTTGTTCAGAGTGGTGTGTATTAGGTGTCAATAAATACAAACATCCAATCCATACCCCATCTAAAAGTCACATTCCGAAACAAGTGGCAATATGACAGTGTGAAATTATTAAAAATTCAATACGCAATTGTCATACTGTTCAATATATAAATATCTATTATTCTAGATTTATATGGAATTAACTGATGGACATAGCCCATCAACATATTGATTCAACAGCATCTAACAGCAGTTTTATCTCAGTGATCAAGCATCTGATTTGGATGTTGAAGTACTAAGTTTAAATTTCAATTATCCTAGTGTTTTGTGTGATTTCCCTCAGTCCGTCAGGTACATGCCATGACACTATGTCAAAATAAGTAACATATCCCACATAATTCACCAAGCTTAATCATCCAACCATTTCTTATTCAAGTATTCGTTCCTACCTGAACAATGAAAGTTTTTCCTCCCCAGCCAGGAGTAGTGCCTATCATGCTCATGTAGTTAGCTTCCATGATGAAATTCTCAAGTCCATGGAAAACACCTCGACCCGTTGCGGAGATTCGCCCATGGATACCACCTTGGTTGATAGGTTTACCCGTTACACAAGCATGAGCATTGATGTCCAGATGACCTATAAAGCAGACAAGTTGTAATAAATAATTAAATTTGGGATTCAACTTATGGCTTAGCACAGTTGCTACACAATCTCTGCTAATAAATGCAGTTCATCAGTACTGGTTATACTAAGCAGCATCACTTGAATTTCACTATGTGATTCATTCTGAAATGTCAAATAAAAAAGACTAATTAAATTAACTAATCTGACTAACTGGTTTTATATAACTTAGAGGAGAGACACATTTCAATACGAGTGATTGCCTCTCTATGTATGAGATTTGGAACAAGACAGGAAACTTTTCCTAGGAAAACTAAAAAAATATTAATCAATAATTTGTTTTATTATTTTGATCAATTTTAGCTTTGTTGTAAGGATTTATAGTCAGAAATATGTTTATTTAGGTACATTTCATTATATTACTGTGGAATTTATATATCTAAATATGTGACAACTATAGTTCTTCATTGCATGAATATGTATATATGAGTAGGAACGAGAATTATTATGTATTGTTAATTAACTTGTTGGTATGTACATGTATAACTGTATTTGTAACACTGTATCTATTTAATTGAGGTATTCAGTTTAGATTTTAACTATGGTCGAACTGATATCTCTGCGATTTTATCTGTGATTGACTTGTGACTGTTGTTTGACAAGTTTTATATTCAGTGCCGGTTGCACACTTATGAACACTTTGAAATGCTGATGTATGTATGTATGCATGAACATGAAAGTCTGCCCTTGAAAAAACCTAATTTTCATAATCATATTTTGCAAAGAGAGAAACATATCTTCTTTCCCTATTGTCAGATTTTTTAAGATGGTACAGATGTGGTGTAGTCTGAACTTGGGCCTAAACACAGAGTTACATTTCTGAACATTAAAATAAGAGATGACCTAGTAGAATACCAATATATATATATCCTTCTCCATTTTTCACTGTGTACTTTTACTAAATGATTTCATAAAAAATACCGTATAGACACATACGGAGCAGTAAAAAAGATGCAGAACCCAACAAAAAAGTGTACGAAACTCGTCTTGAACAACTACGTATATTAAATCACATGATGTTCAGATCTACTAACACAGTTTCCAGGAAAGGACTGAGGACTTTATACTTTTCAGGTTTTACTTTAACATTAATATTATGAAATTATAATCACTGTCAGTTAGACAAAGGTTAGGAGTCATGATTCAGGCATCAAACATGCCCACCAGTGACCTTGACATTAGTTCAGAACATGCTCCATATGTCCATTAGTCAAGTCAACAACAACAAAATTTTACACTGTCAATCTCAAAACAGTGGTACCAAAATTTTCAGTAATTGTGCATATTTCACTTTTCAGATTTGTTGTACTTTGAGAAGGAATGCAATACACGTGATCCTTAAGCCTCACAGAAAGCATCACCAAGATTAATGTCTAAAGAGCATAATGGCCAAGACCACCCCACTCCAAATTCACAACAGCAGCAGTTTGACACTACTCATCATGAAAATGCATCTTTTATACAATGCTTAAGTTTTGTATGATCTGAGTAATTTTTCAAACAAATCAATAAAGGTCAATTTCAGCTTCATGTAAAGTATGAGTTATGATAAATCAAAGTGAACTAAAATTGAATTCCCTGAATATACAGTGTAAATCCCCGGCATGTCATAGACATCTGGTTATGCAGGTATAACAGTAGAACAGGATGAGTAACACAAATCCCCCCCTCCCCCACCAGGCATTTATTTTGTGAAATCATAAAAATAAAAATGAGGACATCTTTCACAAAAGAGTAAATGCTCTTAAAATAAGAAATGTATGACAGCAGCAGGGAAGTAATGAGGTACTCATGGGCTTAGGTAACATAATTAAACATAAACAGAAACAAACCCATATACACCTACCTATAAGGACACAACAATGCTCTCTAACCATACAAACATTAACTATATAATATGGTAAAATGTCACTTACCAATTGTCTTAGCATAGGTGTCAGCAATCCATGACATTTCACGTTCTCCAGTACCCATGTCTGGAGCAGGCACATCCACTCCAGGTCCTAACATAAAAATCACTTCCTCAATACTATTTCTGCCAAAGCTCCATAAAAACTTTTTTTGGTCACTTCATAAAACAATAAAGCTATACAATTTAATGTACTGAAACTTATATAATTTGGCCTTGACAACTATATTACAAAGTTGTGAGAAATGTATATATTTCTGGTGCCAACAGGAGAGTTTACTTATGCAATGAAGGTAAAAAAAAAAGCTGCCAATCTGCTCAAGTATCAAGCCTTGAAGGTGTATAAGTGGTGTGGATTTAAATATCCACACGCTCTAGCCCTCAAACCTAGATGGAGATGAGTTGTCAGCTTCACCCTCAGGGCACTATGACCTCAAAGAAGGGATCAACCAATTGCCCAGAGGATGTCATGTTACATCATAGTTTCTTCACTAGCCAAATCCTACAAAGCCAAACATGTGTGACAAGTGACTCTATTGTAAATCCACATCTAAACATATGGAATTTCATATTATATGCACACAGCAGTGATTCATATACCCATGCAGGTAAAATCTTGAACTTTCTCAGAAACTTGTAAGGGGAAGTACTCACCAATGAATCCTTTCTTTGCCAATTCAAGAGTAAACCTTCTGGTTATCTTCTCCAGTTCGTGTTCACTGTATTCTTTAGGGTTGAGTTTGAGACCAGCTTTTCCACCACCAAATGGAACATCAACACAGGCACACTTGAAGGTCATCAGGGCTGACAAGGCTTTCACCTCATCACGAGTCACATCTTCAGAAAACCTAATTCCTGCAACATATCAGGTTAGACTCTTACATTTCTTATTTCATTTCATTTTATTTTTTTTTATAAATAACAGAAACAGCGGGAACCTTTTTATTCACAACATGGAGAAGTATCTTAAAAGCATAAAATTCATCACACACAGGATTACATCAATACACGTAATAAGAAGTTAGATAAGTTAATAAGCACCAAAACTGATAAAACTAATTTAATAACATCAGCAAATTAATATCAGCCAGTTTCTCAAGGGCTCAGTAAACTTCATATTTGTGCTATCTAGTGGCTTTACATAGTAATTCTGAGACAGATCGTTTTATTTATGGTGTCACTAAACTGATTGGGGAAATGACCTTTAAATCTTATATGTAATATACCAGTTATCAACAAACAGTGACAGATGAAAAAACATATGGACAATGGTATTAAAACTAAGATACAGAAATGAAATAAAAAAATAAGCAACAAAATTAACAATATTTACACTGGATTTGAGGTCCTCACAGTGGTGACCATGTAGAGTATCAACTTCCAGGATGTGACCCCATGTAGTCTTCTAGAAGTTTACTGACATCTGAGGAACGCATACTCCTTCCATCTTCAGGGTCAAAGAGTTAGCCAAGCAAGCAGGAAGTAGAGTTGTTAAATTGCTATGAAACTACATGGCACCATATCCCAGAAGAGAGTAAGTAATAAAAAGTAAAGGTATCCCTGTAAGTGGCCATGGAGGCCCATAGGGTTGTGAGATGTTGAGGTTCCCACATTTTCTAGACAATCGGCTCATGGATGGCGCCAAGGCTGTCAGCCCTACGCGCCGGCTGCTCTTTACCCCCAAGAACATTTCAAGAATATTCCTGGTACTCATTTCTGTTAGAGGCTGAGTCGACCCCAGGCCCATATTGCGGTCAGAAGGATTAAGTCAATTGAAAAAATCCAATGACCTCATCGGGACTGGAACTCGCGACCTTCCAGCTTGTAGCATAGTGCCTCAACCAACTACGCTACCGCGTGCCCCTCTCAGAAGACAGTACTCTTCAGTAATATTTACACCCAAATTTGGGATGAATGGAGGCAGCATGGGACTCTTTGATGCTTGGGCCTGGGGTTCAAGGAAATGATTACGAAACACTGGACTACAGCTGTTACAAACACAGTAGAAGCGAGATATATTTGGGACCCATGACAGAGATCAAAACGAACCCCTCAAATACGAGCCATCTGTCCACCTCCAATCCGGGAGATTGCTTGAAATCGTGCCAAGCAGGCCACCCAGTCATCTAACTAAACTTACTACATGGAGTAGAGTCCTTCTAGAGAAACTGAGTGCCCCTGAGCTACTCAAGAAATTTCCGGCCTTTTTTTGTTACCCGAAAATTCACTGCTGTGTTCACAAAAGTCCACAACTGGTCCCCATCCTGAGCCAAACGAATTTAGTCCACACCCTGCCATCTTTAAAATTCATTTCAATACTATCCTTCCATATACGAGTATGCTTAAGCCTTCCAAGTGGCCTCTTCACTTATATTTTTCCGACCAGAACTTTATATGCATTTCTTTTCTTCCCATGCATGCTACATGCCCGCAAATCGCATCCTCCTCGAGTTGATCTCCCTCATAACACCTTGTGATGAGTACAAATTATGAAGCCCCTCATTATGCAGCGTCCTGTCACCCCTCTACGACTCAATATGCTATTCTCCTCTGCGCTTTGTCGCCAAACAAGCTCAACCACAGTTCTTCCATTAATGTAAGAGGCCAAGTTCATTCCCGTACAAAACAACGGGCAAAAAAATCTGAACTGCATGGCAGCAAGCATTCCCTGAATTTATTTGCTCTTAATTTCTTCGTAAATGCAATTCTGATTTATTAGTATTGCTCCCACCAGTATTTTAATTCCTTGTGACTAGCAATATCGTCATGCATCTCGCGTGACTTTATTACTGTTCGCTTGGGCACTCACTATAGCCGAGTACAACACGTGTATATTTGTCGAAACGCTCGACCTGTTACTAGCCCATCAGTACCATGCTCGAGTGATACACTTAGAGATAAACGAACACGTGACATCGGGCTGTATGTCAAGCTCCAGTAGGCTTATTTCATTCCACCTCAATATTAACACTTCCAGCCCACATAAACTGAAATACACGCAAGATCAACACGGCAATCTCATTTTGTTATATTATTCCACCTCGAAGAGTATAAAAATGTACTTCTCAATTCAAACATGACACGAGCTAAATAACTAAATCTTATCGCCAAAGGAAATGATTGTATAATTCCAAAGACGTAATGAGAACCTTATGCTAATATCCGTAATTTCTCCAACACGTGGTAAAATAAGTTATAGTCGAATTTCCTTCATATGCTTCAATCAATCTATATGACAAAGCTATGGAAAACTAACAGTTATATGAATAAATGAATTATTTCTGCGTACATTTCCGCTAGTAGAGATTCAGAATACGTCAGATTTCATACTTATAAGACCAAAGAGTGGGGGCACGCGGTGGCGTAGTTGGTTAAGGCATTATGCTACAAGCCGGAATGTGGCGGGTTCGATTCCCGATGAGGTCACTGGATTTTTCAGTTGACCTAATCCTTCAAACAGCACTATGGTCATGGGGTCGACTCAGCCCCTAACAAAAATGAGAATCAAGAATCTTCCTCGAGGGTAAAGAGCGACCTGCGCGTAAGGCTGACAACCTTACCGCAATCTATGAGCCGACAGTCAACCNAGCCCCTAACAAAAATGAGAATCAAGAATCTTCCTCGAGGGTAAAGGGCGGCCTGAGCGTAAGGCTGACAACCTTACGCAATCTATGAGCCGACTGTCTACAAAATGTGGGAGCCACAACGTCTCACAACCTTATGGGCCTCCACGGCCTGTTACAGGGATAGCTTTACCTTTTTTACCACGTTTTAGTATCAAAGAGTATAAACGACGCCATTTGAAAAGCATTAAAATCATATAATAATATTAGATATATCTGTCGTCAATCTATAAGCATATAGAAAATGTCATGCCTAGTTCCCATATATCTCTATCAGAGTGAACTCGCTAGTGAAGTTCGTTATCTACGTAGTATTAAGTCAGTGTTCGTCAGATGGAAACCACATGGTCCTTCGAAAAGTCGGTAAATTTCTACCAGACTTCATCGCGAAATATTCCAGAATATAGTACAAACACAGTAAACAAATATGGGTCGGTGTACTCTAACTGGAGTAAGCCTCTGCACTGATCCAAAATGCAGTGCGGTTTTCTGTTCCTAAGGGTCTTCGCATTTTTAAACTTTACCTCCACAGAAGTACAGCGCCGAGCGAAGAGATAAATGACGAACTGTGAAGAACGCGACGGAGAGGGGAACGGTTGCGACCTACTTTGAGGTACTTAGGAAAACCAGGAACAAAATGAATCGGGCTACTTGGCAAATCAAGAATCAAACCCAAGATGATTTGTCATCAAACTGAGTGTTCACTGATCCCAGCCACAAATTCCTATTTCCACACCCAATCAACAATACAGATATCACGTAATACAGGAAATAAATTATTTCGTTACTAGATAAGAGGGAGAGTCAGTAAATAGGTCACAAATGGAAGTGTATCACTAGGTAGTAGCACAGGCCAGCTTCATGACAGTCTAGGCATCAGACGCACATGCGCATGTTCAAGGCCTGGTTTCGGTAGTCAAAATGGCGACCGTGCTTGAGATGTGTACTACCGAAGAGCACCGTTCTGTTGTGCGTTTTTTTTTGTAGGCCAAAGGATTCAATACAAAGGATATTCGTGAATAAATGTTTCTTGTTTACTGTGGGAACTGTTTTCGGCATAAAGCGGTTCACAACTGGGTCGAGAAATTACCACCTTGGTGGCAAACGTTTCGAGGATGATAAAAGTTGAAACGGGGGTGCGGAAATGGCTGAAACAGTCAAAAGACTTCTAGTACGTTGCGGGTTTCGACCCACTAGTAATGCGATGGGACAAGTGTATCAATGTTGGTGGGGGATATGTCGAGAAATAAACGTTTCTCCAAGTTCGAATATAAGTTTTATGTTTTATATCCATTTGTGACCTATTTACTGACTGTCCATCGTAATTTGAAGATACGCTCGGGCGAAGAGCACAGCTTAATCCGTATAGCGACTAGCAACAGGCTGAACGGCCGGGGTTCGATTCCCGCTAGGGATAACAGATTCTTCTCTTCTCCATAGCGCCTAGGTTGGTTCTGGGGGCACCAAGCCGCCCCTCCAAGGGAGGTCGGGGGCTCTTTTCTTGGAGGTAAAGCTGTAGAAGTATGAAGTTTTCCACTCCTATCTAGTGCCGAGGTCCCCCATACGTCTTCACGGCGTCGTGCTTAATTAAGTAAGAACGAGGACTTTATCTCCAGCGAAGAACAGGCACTTTCTGTTGCTTGTCTTTTTGTCTGGGTACAGGAATATATATGTCTGTTCATAAAAAAAGTGCCATAATAAGCTATTTCGATTTTCCAGATTATAGGGAAAACCCGAAATATCTTCAGTATGAAGGATATTAAACATAATAATCAGCATGGGTAAACATTTGTGTTGTAATTTCATCTCGCTTATCTCTCGAACAAACACTGCGTCTCGTCCACTAGAGATAGCATTTAATTAAGGCACGTTCACGCATTGCCTCTTGTGAAAATTCAAGTTAATCCGGTATGATTTCTGAAATCTAATTTCTGTGGAGTGAAGTGTTCTGGATTCGAAATGTTATATAACAGGTACTTAAAATTCTTCTACCTCCCCATTTCCTTCCGTCCTCTGTCCGGTGGTTGTACCTTCTCGATTAAGTCAACCATATTAACTACCGACAAATTAATAATCTGATATTTAACAAATGACGACAGCAGAAATGTATATGAAAGTCTGGCATAATTAGGGGAGTAGCAACACTACTCACTCTCTATTACAAAATCCGTAACAAAGCTTTATGTGACAGAATCCAAAAAAAAATATTCAAACCAACATTTTGTTGGAAAG